ACAGGCAAGTTTTATGTCACTAGATTCTTCTGTCTATTTAGTAATTGAAATAAAATATTATCATAAGTGTTTAGTTGGATTTAATAGAATTAAAACTTTAGCTCACAGGCAAGTTTTATGTCAATAAATCCTTTAACCCATTAGGTAATAATTTTATCACAATTTCTTAGAATTATAAATTTATTTCAATTATAATTCTAAGTTTCATGGTTTGCATTGGCAAAACATGTATTCAGTCACTTCCCAAAATTTAGCCGCCTTTATTAATTGCTTCACGAACTTAGTTGGTTATTTGGATCAACTATAGTAAGTTATGTGATGTGATATACCTCTTTTGGATTCCAAGACTAAAATATACCTTTTGAGTCAAATTCTAACTTGGTTTTGGAAGGTGCATTTTATTATTTTAGTATGTCCAACTAATGGCGGGGAATTAATACCTTCATTATTTAGTTGGACTTTAATTGGAACCAAAAATTGATTATTTAGTATGTCCAACTAATGGTGGGGAATTATGTCTTCATTTGTTAGTTGGTCAAATCAATTACGAGTACGTATATCATTAATTTTGCTAAAGAATATCTTAATCAGTGGGAGTGATCATTTAGAAAAGGATCATTAAGATGCTCCATAATCAGTGGGAGTGATCATTTAGAAAAAGATCATTAAGATACTCCATTAAATCTTTTGGATTTAATAGGCTTCATACATCCTAAATTGGATTGTATGTCAAACAATAAGTCCAAAAGATTCCACAAGTATTAATATTGTATTTGTTCATATAAATTCATATTGGTTTAGCAACATATTTATGAAAATGTTGTAACAATATTGAGGAGTTTATTAGAACAAAACATATAACTTGTGGTGCATTGTTAAGTAATAAATTCTTCAGCATTTAATAGTCTTTAGTTTCTTCAAAATTGATCCTGTGCCATTTTGGTTTGTAAGGCTTAAGACAATTTTGAGAAACATAAAAGTAAGACTCATAATATTCAGTTCATTTTAATGTGGACATTGGGATTATTTGGGAAGTTATGGTGTATGTTTAACATTCCAAATTTATGGACTTAGAGTTATGGTTTATTGTCTAAGTTATTGGAATGCTTCTATGACTAAACTATCTTTTTGGCTATTTTGATGAGTGGGAGTGACAGACGTGTCAACTCCAAGCTCTTAGCCGTTAGAGGTAGTGCTTAAAGTTAACTTATAAAGAAGTCATAGAATATAGTTAGCATTATGTTAACATTAAGAGATCTCTACTTAAGGCATGCTTTTAAGGATATTAGAGATCATGCAGTGTACTGTTTTGTACAATTTGGATGGTTTTCTCTCTTAAGTTGCGCATATACATTTTATTTTGAGAAACATCTCTTAAGGTACCAAGAATAAACATTGGGTTTGTTCATAAAGGATTCAAGTTGGGCAATCAAAATGCATGTGATCGTAGGAGATATTACTCACTTATTCAGTAGAGGACATATTACTATGATTCGTGTGTTTTGTTCTTTAATGCGAATTGTGCTAGTACTTGCACCAAGTGGGAGACTGTAAGACTTTCCCGTATAATATATATTATATATTATGGGTCTTACTTATGTGGTGCAAGTGGACGAGGCCCATTAAGTAATTGGTTGGGTTGGACCTTTAGGTTTAAGTCTTATATCCACCAATGTGCCTATATAAAGCTTTTATTGATGGGATACAAGACATATGATTCATTATATGGTACTCATACTACTCAGAAAATACCAATACACCATCTAGGGTTCTGAGTCAAGTATGAGACAAAACGGCTAACCCTATTCTGCAGATCTACTTGAAGAGGCAATACAACAGGGTATCAACCATGGCTGGAGATCTACAGTGCTTCCGCTTCCGCTACTACGAGTTAAGTTTCTCGTAGATTATGCTCTGTATATTTAAATCTCACAGAGTCACCACGCTGGATCCCGCCGCCCGCGGTCGTTCTCAAATACAATGTAGACGCAGTTGTCTCTGACTCGAGGATTTACTTTGGTGTGGTGGTACGAGATCAACTTGGGCGTTTTGTAATGGCGCGAAACGACAATCTTAATGGTCATCGTGATCCATATTTCGCGGAGGTGTTGGCTATTCGAGAGGCACTATCATGGATCAAAAATCACTCGGAAACAACCTACATAGTGGAGTCCGATTGTTTAAATTTCTGTAATAGTTTTAATTCTCGTAGTAATGATTTCTCTTATGTTGGTTTACTTATTGAGCAATGTCGTGACATTGCTAGAGGCATTGGGAACGTTTTAGTTCGTCATGTCAAAAGGCCAACGAATCGAGTGGCGCACGTACTTGCACATGTTACTGGTTCTTCTTCTGTCCTCGGGGTTTGGACTTCCTATCCCCCTGATTGTATTTCATCTCTAGCTGATTTAATGAATTCTCTTTCATTTCAAAGAAAAAAAAAAACTTAACAACCGGAAATATGATTCATTGAGTCTGGCTGGCAGACGTTGTGGAAAAATAACATTAAAATGACATTTTAAGTGGCTATTTTGTGGTACAATTATCAGTGGGGTCCACTTCTAATTTGAGTCAGGTCAACGTGGATTTAAATTCTTCGTAATGAGACGACAAAATTGATATACTGTACGCTTAAAACGAATATTACCACTAAGTAAGAACATCATCATTACTTCCTTTGCCAATAATATGTCCTTTAAGCTATTAAAGGGGATAGTTTCTTCTGCTTCTGTAACTTGATGCCAAAAAAACCACCAAAACACTATACAACTTCAAAAGTATTATGACCTGCAAAATCAACTTCATTGGGGATATCTCACTTGCCATTTGCCAAGATGTACATAGGAGCCATATTGGAACCCAACTTTTCAAGTGACAATGTGTTTGTATTTATATATAATTGCAGTGATTTATCTGATCTGAAATTAGACTCCTTTTATAGGTTATGATTTAGAATTATATTGAGAATTTATCTTCATTAATGCAGAGTTCGGATATCGAAGGGACACACTGTTTAATACAAATTAATTCTCAAATCGAAGAGTCTCAAATTTAAATCAGTCATCCAAAAATTAATAACAATAAAGGTATGGAACTGAATTAGCTAATCCTAAAACACAGTATTTGTTGGACGAGAATTGGAGCCAAAAAAATTGCCAAAAGTATCTAGCTTTTTTATATAGGATATACAAAGCAATTAATATAAGCATTTCAATTGTTTGCCAAAAACATCTAGGATATACATTGGAATACGGGAAGTCCTACAAAGCAATTAATATAAGCATTTCAATTATCTAGAATGGTTATTGAGTGTACATTGGATAACTAAAGAATTTCAAAAGCAAATGATATTAACATTTACTTACATCAGATAATTCGGCATTAAAAATGGTAACAAAAAATTTTGGCATTCAAAACGATGCCTTTTTTTTTGTGGGCGGGAAATTGATGTGGTAAATTTTTTTTGTTATTATATAGATCGAGTAAAATTATATAGAGTAAGATAAGATAAAAAATGAGATAATATAATACTATTTTAAATTCCTTATGTTTTACCAAACAAAGCTTTTAAGTTATTTGTAACACTCATACATGTAACCAAGAATGCACTTGGACTAGAAAGAGCTCTCAGTAAAAGACTCTCGGATTTGAGTTGATTCTCACTTCTCCGGTTGATTTCTAGATAAATTTCTCCGATGATCAATTATATTACTTAGAGTTGTTTTTTTTTTTTTTTTTTTTCGAATTTTTTACTCCATCCGTCTCATTTTATGTGTCTGGTTCGATTAACAAGACTTGACTAAAATTATTTTTAATTTAATTTTCATAATATTACATTTAGTATTAATATACAAAATTTATATATTTGAAAACTACACTAAAAGTACTATTAACAAAAAAAAAATTAAAAATAAGTAAAAAAAAAATACTAAGGACAAAGAGAGACATCATAATTTAACTTCAGCTGGTCAAAAATTTATCTCCGACTGCCGTTTTCATATACTTCAGGGTAAATTTTTCATAAACTCTTCCTCAAATTTATAAATTAAAATTCTGATAAAACTAAACCAACCCGAAATAAAATTAAAATAATTTTACTTGAACCAAATATGTTCAAGATTCTTGACCTAAAATTAAAGAATCACCCAAATTGAACCAACACCCATCCATAAACTTAACCCAATTCTATATTGTAGACTATGTTCCACGTGGACCATGAATAAATGTTCATTAGCAATATACTGAAAGTTTATTATTTGGTAGTATACTAAATAAAGAATTTTTATACTCAAATTAAATAATGTACCTTGAAAAAATTAACATATACATTCAGTATATTAAACTAAAAATATAATTTTACTATATTAAAAATCCATACTGACCAGTACTTTGCTCCTTGGGTCGACCCGGTGCAAATGTGGATTAGTCTGAGTATGATATGAGCCTCCTACAATTAGGCAGCAATTTATATCGTGCACCACGGTGCACAGAGCAATGTGCACCCATGCACAAAACGTCGTCGTTTCAATTGCTGTTGACCGGGATTGACGTAACGGACACCACTCCGTCCGTTCAAACGGGCCAAATCCCATTATGTGTATTCAATTAAAAATTTATGTGTATTGTGTTATGAGTTTATGTGTATTATATTTTATGTTAGATTATGTGTATTCTGTACATTCAAAACATATGATTTTTTTTGACAATATACCAAAACGACATCATTTTGGACAGACGCACATTGCACGATATAACGACTGCATTTAGGGCGACACCTCATATGACCAAAAAAAATGCTATATATACATACGTACACACACTCAAATACAAGTCTAAAATCCACCAAACATTATATTCATTCTCAGATCTCAGATCGCCAATACGAGGTTGTTGCCGTTGAAGTTGCTGCAGATCGAGTTGTGTTTATTGACGGTTGAAGGAACATCCTTCCCCTATTGCATTGAATTGTTCGATCTTTGCAACTCCATCTCCGCTGGAAAATGGAAAATTGCAAATTGCCAAAAGATCTGGTGGTTGATATTTTAGCGAGATTATCGGTAAAGTCTCTTATGCAATTTAAGTGTGTTTGTAAATTTTTCTATGATTTGATAACAAGTGATCGCCATTTTCTGGACAAACACTATGGAATTAGCAAAGCAAAAACAGATTATGTTCTTTTAGAGACTGGTTGGAATGTTAGAGAATATTATTTGCTTTACAAAGAATCTGAGGGAAATGAGATTGAATGCATATACTTAGACATCCCAGTAAGGCCAAAAGCACAACGTTGGGTTAAGAGTTGTGAAGGTATGTTATGCCTGATTTTGACCAGGAAAGATGTGCTTAACCTTGATGCGGGTGATAATCTTATTTATGATATTTTGATATGGAATCCATTCATTAGGAAAATTAAAGCCTTACCCCCAATTACCGTCCCTTACAAACTATCTTATCCTGCATATGCGCTTAACGCATTTGGATTTGGGATTTCTAACAATATGATTTGGAAGGTTGTCATGCGATTAGAAATTTGTTCTTTATGTGATGATGGGAGAAAGATTGTTCACCAAACAACAATGGTTTATAGCCAAGTTCATGGTGATTCATGGAGTTTGAGACCGATTAATTTGGTTACATCTTTTCTGGATAGAGAAATTCAAGGGGATGGCTTTTATTTAAAAGGGAGGTATTATTGGTCGGAAAAAAGTTACTTTAATGGGCAATATTTGCTTTGGTTTGACATGGATGATAAGGTTTTTGGGACGATTGAGTTTCCATCAGATGTTACCATTGCTTCAGTCACAATAATGGATGAGACTATTGCTTTACTTGGATATCCAAGTGTGGGGGATTTCAGTTGCATTGGGATTTGGTTAATGATTGAAAATGACAACAACACTTATTGGCGTAAACAAACAATTGTAGATTGTGTTGTAAACGCAGATAATAATGAATGTTGGAGACCAATAGGAATTTGGAATGCGGGCACTGAATTGCTCGTATTTCTAGACAGTACAATTGCTTGGGATCCGTTTTCGGATGAAATGGATGTGCCATACTTCATATCTATTGATTTGGTTACTCAAGAAAGGAAGATGTTCTCTATAAGTAAAGAAAGGAAATGTATTACCATGACTTCAGATCAAGCTGCTGGGTATATTCAAGTTTACAATGAAAGAAATACTAATATAGCAGAAGAATGGAAACAAAGTATTTTTATGCGCAAGAGAATATATGCTCGAGTTTACAGCGAGAGTCTACATTTACTGTAAGAATGAAATAATTTTATATTATTTACTTAATTCCCTCTTTATTTTCACACACAACCTTGTGTGTGGAGTTATGAGATAATGAAATAAGATCTATGATACTTTTTTCTATACTTTATAAAAATGGCATTCTTGAACTATGATTTGTGATTTCATCAAGGTTGGTGTGATTTATTAGTCCTATGATTATGTCTTTTTTTTTTTTAAATAAAAATTATGAATTATATTCCCTTGAAGTGTGCTTTTGCATTCTTGGAGATCATATGTTTATTCACTTTATTTTTAAATATTTCATAAATGACATCAACTTCTCGATATATACTACCTTTTTTTTTTTTGAATGTTACTGCCCTATTACATTGTAGTATCTGTTTATATACTTTCTCAACCTACTAAAATACAAAAAACCAATAACGCCTCCACTGAGACTCGAACTCGTAACCTTCCAAATGGAAGTCCAACCCGGGTACCATTAGACCACATAGTCTTGGTTCGATCTATACTACCTAGCTAACATTAAAGTTAGTTTCTAAATTGCATCAAATATGTCATACGATAACTCAGTCAGAAAGAATGAGTCCAGGGCCTCTGTGTAACACGAATGTGGAACAACACCATAAAAGCATACTCGTAAGTGAAGATTTGACTCTAACTTATAATTATCACTCCATAATTATAAGTTACAAATTAAATTATAAGGTACATAATTGATGTTAGTTGTCTAGGTACATAATTCCATTGCACAAGCTAAGGTACACAAATATTAGTCTTTATTTCTTATAATCCGTTTAATCTCATTGCATAATGTTCATGATCCGGTGTTTAATTTGTTGAAAGAGATGCACGAGACTTCATATCTATTGATTTGGTAACTCAAGAAAGAAAGAGGTTCTATAAGAGGTTCTATAATGAGATCGTTTCACGGATCCTCTTCTGTGAAATTGGTCTGATTTTTTATAAGTATTACGCTTTCCATCATATAGGTATTATAACTTTTCTCATAAGTAACTCTTCAACTCCTAATATTACATTTTGATTTACATTATTTTTCATTAGAGTGATCACATTTTTGCTCATAAGTCATAACCATTACAGTTTTCTCATAAGTCATAACCATTACATTTTTCTCATAAGTCATAAGTAACAATCAATCAATTTATCACAGATTACATTTTTTCTCATAAATAATTGTTCAACCTTTAAAGTATTACATTTTTTCTAAAAAAGTACTCCGTATTACACTTTCTGTGATGGCGTTAAGTGTTGTCAAAGTATATTATGTTTGATTTCAAGCATGAATGATATGTTTGAACTTGATGGTGTTGATTACCTTATTTACGATGTTTTGATATGGAACCCTCTATTATTGTCCCTTAGACTACCTAACGATGTATTTGTGCTTTAATAATGAATTTGGATTTGGGATTTCTAACACCATGACTTGGAAGGTTGTCATGTTATTAGAAATTAAATTTGTGCTCAACGTGAGGGTGGGAGAAACGTTCACCAAATCACAATGGTTTATTGCCAAGTTTGTGGTGATTAACAGAGACTAATTCAATTACATCTTGTCTGGCAATTCAGAGCGATGATTGTTATTTAAAAGATAGGTACTATTGGCGGGTTAAAAGTTACTTTATGAAACTTACAATCAATATTTGTTTTGGTTTGATATGGATATATGTTGAGGTTTTTGGAACGATTGAGTTGTCATATGATGTTAACATCGCTTCAATCACGATAATGAATGATATTGTTGCTTTACTTGGATATAAGTGTTGGAAATTAAAATTCCAGTTGCATTGAGATTTTGTTAATGATTAAAATTAAAGGGAAAATTGTAATTTATGTTCTTCCATAATATGTCAATTATCAATGTCACTCATGAATTATTAGTGGTGTAAATGTTGCCCTTCAATTTTTAAAATGGTACATATATTGCCCCTCCCGTAGTGTAAATGTTGTCCCTCAATTTTTCTCCCGTACAGTACAAGAGGGGCAATATATGTACCGTTTTAAAAATTGAGGGTCAACATTTATACTATTAATAATTCAGGGGTGACATTGATAATTGGCATATTATGGTGATGCATAAATTACAATTTTCCTTGATTAAAATGAAAATAATATTTACTGGCGTAAACAATGAAGCATAGATTGTGTTGTAAAAATAGATAATAATGCATGTTGGAGACCAATAGGAATTTAGAAAGTGGATAGCTAGTGATTTACTTGTATTTCCAGACACTGGTTTATTGGGAATTGGGATAAATGAATTGAAAAGTATTACTTTTGCTTCAAATCCAACTAATGGGTATTTTCAAATTTACAACAAGAGAAATACTGATATAGGAAGAATGAAAACTCAATATTTTTATGCGTCATGCAATATATGCTCGAATTTACGGCAAGAGCCTATATTTATTGTAAAAATGAAATATTTTTGGGGTGATTGGTAAATGGTTCTTATCTGATTGAATTAGTGGGTTTGATTAGTTGATAACATTAACTGATTGTCGAAAAGTGTTTAGTAAATTAGCTGTTAGCTTATTGCATACAAAATACTTTCTCGAAAAGCTAATTGAAAAACTAAATAGTTGATAGCATTAGCTGATTGTAGAAAAGTATTTTGATAAATTAAATGTTAGCGAATTATATACACAATACTTTCTCAAAAAACTAATTAAAAAACTATTTAAAATAATTTTTTAATCTAATTAATCAAAGACCTAACTATTTTAACAAATTAATACTAATCCCTTAAACCGCGTGTAATGTTGGATAAAATCTAAACAACTACTCCGTATAATGTTGGATTGAGCCAAAACCTTAAAACACGCGTCAGGTAGGGGTCGAACCTACGACTTTCTGCTTAGGAAACAGACGCTCTATCCACTGAGCTACAGACGCACACTTTGACATTGATTTTCAGAGAATTTATCTAATTATTTTAAAGCTTCAACGCATTAATACAATATAAATAACAATTATAATTGTTGTACTTTACAAGCTACATATTTCTGCAAACAAATGCTCTTTACTAAAGTTTAAAAAAAAAAAAAAAAAAATTGTCAATTTTATTCTATCCCCCATCACTACAACAAATTTATCAATATTACTATCTTAAATTTGTTACTCAACTTTTAATTTCTCCAAAATCAATCATCTTGCTACACAACAAAAAAGAACTCACGCTTAAATAAAATTAGTGTATCGATTGAACTCCCACATAGCGTAGTACACCTTACCACATCTCCAATTACAACGGCAAAGTAGACAGGCTTTGAACCGAGCAATCGTTTCAGAAGACGACTAAAATGCCAAAGAAATAGGTTGGTGCAAGAGAAAAGAATACATCATTTACATATGCATGCAAGAATAACAAATAAAGCAAATACATAAAACTTGTTACTCTCTTAGTTGCCAGTAGAAGTGTTGTTCTCGGGGCAGGTCCTTCTATTATGCCCTTCTTCTCCACATATTCGGCAATGAAGATTCTTTATCATAGTTCTCCTAGGCTTCGGGGGCGTTCTTCGTCTGTTGTTATGTCCCTTTTCCACGTATTCGCTTCTTTCGGGACATGTTCTGCTATTGTGCCCTTTGGTTACACACAAGCTGCAGGTATACGGTTTTTTAGTCGAGGCAGCAGAGCTGATGCTCGTGGCCGATCCAGACGAGTCTAGGTCAGTTTTCTCGGGGCATGTCCTTCTGTTATGCCCTCTTTCTCCACATATTGTGCAATGGAGATTCTTTTTCACCTTTCCCTTAGGTATGCTTAGTTTCGACTTTGGGCAAGTTCGTCTGTTATGTCCCTTTTCCCCACATACACGACACCTGAAACGTCTGTCCAGGTACTTAATATCCGGACAGTAGTTGCTCCTATGCCCTTCTTTCCCGCAGTTTCTGCAGAAGAATCTCACTCCTGTATAGGAATGAGATGACACACCGGGTGAACACAAAGTGGACCGAACAAGCTCTGATACCATGGGTCAAACCACACTAAAACACTGAATCTAATCAATTAACTAGTCCAACCCATGGCCTTAGAAACCCGTACGTTTTTCTCTTATTTTTCAATGTGGAGTCTCAACAACAACAAACAACGATGTTTTGGTTATAACCGTGAAGGAGAAGGAGAAGAAGAAGAAGAAGAAGAAACGGACCTTTCATGGAGAGACTTCTCTTGCGACGGTTTTCTGGATCTCGAAAGTAGTTTTTCATAGCGTCCGAAGCACGTTTCCTAGCAGCAGCTGTTCCTTTGGCCTTCTGCATAGACAACAGTTCTTCAAACACAACCCCTAAGGTACGATTCATTAGCTCGAGACAGTTCAGACATTGATCACCAAACCTTAATAGCAGCCACTCTCTGCGCATGAAGCGTGGGATCGCCATGGATAATTTTCATCCTCTTACTAAACAGTCCAGTTTTGGCATTCAGGCTCTGCAATCATCCAGTTTTGGCTCGATCTATCATAAATTAGATATTAACAGCCAATGAACCACAAGATCGTAAAGTCTGAAACTGAAACGGCCAATAGCAATTCAAACAATCCCGCAATGTAGAAATGTAGAATATATATATATCATGGAACGAAAACGAACCAGAAACCTCACTGATACAAGGGAAAATGAATGTAAGAGGGAAAAAGTTGACGAACTTTTAATGATCTGCTGATCTTCAAAGTAACTTCTGGCCTCGGAGATTGGTATACACGCTTGGTTTTCCTCTTCGCGTCTAGCTTTATATCTAAATCATCTACCTCGTCGTCCTCCTTCATTTTAAACGGCGATCTGCAAAAAGGCTCGTGGGAAACTATGCATTCATAGATAAACTCATCTTTCTTGATCCATATAATACACAAATTCTGCAATCTAGTTATAGTTTAAGCGGGATTGACTTACATAGATTGAGCTTTCTCCCATGGTCGTTCATCAATAGACTCTTCCCAAATAACGCAATCCCCCAAGCACTGATGGCAAGTTATTATACCCTAAGATAAATGGGAGCCCCTAAATTAATCACGAGGCTCAAAGGCCATAAATCCAACTGAAAATTTGCTTACGATGAGCATATATATGAAATATCCAATGCCAAAGATCAAAAATATACTTTTATCACTACCTTTCCAGTACATAGAGAACAGTCCAGCCGAGATCTCTCGATTCCACATTCGGTACATGGAGTATAACCCCTTCCTCTGCAGCTTGGGCAAGGCAATTCTCTGATATACTGTCCATTCGGGCCAAACCACGATCTCGGTTTTGAAGCACCAGAAACAACTTCTCTGAAAGATTTTTTTTTTTTTTTAAAAACTAATGTCATTGAACCTGAACTAAACCTTCAACACCATCAAACTAATGTCTGTAACTTCTGAAATAATTGGGCATCACATTTGTGAATAATGTTCATTAGGGGTGACAGTCAACCAATAGCAAAGACTATAGAACTAAAAACCTAAGATTTAGAAGGACCCTGATTTCAAATTTTCAATATAATCTTTGGCATCTTTACTTAACACCAGAGTTCATAAATTCAGCCCACATGGACAGCTCAGTTGGTTCTTGGCGGTAAATATTGACCCTAACCGCCACAGTGTGGGAGTTTCACACAATTGGTTCTGGGTGGCAGATTGCGGGAATTATACCCAGTTGATTCTTAGGTGGTAGATTATGGGCAAAAACACGAGCCCTTACCGCCTTACATCCAATGTAGTGATTAGTGAACTCCCAACAGTTATGTCACCGTAATTTACTCCACTACTATATCAAATTGGGATGTAGGGACACGAGAATTTCACCTTTCGTGGGTAAAAATCAGACTATAGGCTGCTAAGTCACGGTCATTTACCTTGTCCGGGGTGTGGGGCCTTGGGGCTACAGAATTTCCCTTTTGTGGGCAAGAATTCATAAATTCACCCATAACTTGATAAGCTTCATTTTATCAAGAAAGACTGAAAATCAAATACCTTGGGTGCAAATCAGATGCCAGTCCAAAGAGCTCTTCTGAAGGATCATAGCCAGTAGTCTGTCAGAAACAACCTTAAAGATTCAACCTTTACAATCACATTGTCCAAGAATGCCATTAAAGATCTTTAACTGAACTAAAACCCTTGCAGAATTACCTGGGTTTGTTTGGTGGGCGAGGGAGAATCTTCTTCATGGCTAAAAGAAGAGAACCCAAGCTTTCTCCTGGAATGCGACAATGCCCAGTAACACAAATTCTTGTTAATGTGCTTCCAATTGGGTTGAAGAGCCACCATTACCCGGAAATTGAACGATGAACATACTGAAGACATGTATAATAGAGTCAGTTTCTTTGGTTGCAGAGAGGGAGAGAACGAGAGGTCGAATAAAATGGAATTTCAAGATTTTAACCCACAAAAACAAAAAAATAAATAAATAAATAAAATAAAATTGTGGATACGATGAAGACAACAAATCGGATATTCTTCTTATCCAGTAGCAGTGGTCTGTAGTTTTGGCAAATTAATGTGTTCACCCTAGTCTATGTAGGTGTCTATGAATATAAAATATATTTTTATTATATTAAAGATACATTATTTGTATATTGAATGTACACTGTTTGATTGAATATAAAATAATGTACTTTTAGTAATTAAATAATGTATTTTACACATATAAATAATGTATTTTTAATATATTAAAAATATATTGATTCACACAACTGTATGGATCATGGTCTATGTAATAATGATAGGTGTAATTCAATGTCCATGGCACCATTAAAGAGGCAATTTATATCATGCACCAGGGCACAAAATGTATTGTGCGTCCTGGCCCAAAACGACGTCGTTTTGTACTCATTTTTTCTGGAAATTCTGTTTTCCGTGTCTGCTATTAATTTCTTAAAAAAAATTTATCATGTTTAATTGTATAACAGACTACACATAATCTTTTTTTAAAGGATAATACACATAATCTAACATAATGCATAATAGTATAATACACATAAACTCTTAACACTTAAAAAATATCCTCTATTTTGAATTACATAATTGTATAATAGAATGTATATAATTATATAACAGAATACACATAAATTCCGTCGCGTCAACTCCCCACACAACTTAACAAAACGACATTGTTTTGGGCATTGTGTGCCCTGGTGCACGATATAACGATTCCATTAAAGATTGTTCTCGGTTCTCGGCAAATTATGATGTGCATCCGTATGCACCGTGCATGGTGCATACGGATGCAAAAACGACGTCGTTTTGCATCAAAACGCGTGTCCTACTTAAAAAAAAAAAAATCAATTTCGATTCTCAGCAACAACATTATGTTATTCATTTTTTAGTTCATTTATTCTGAAATTTTAGTTATGAAATTTTGGATGTATAGTTATGCAATTCTGGATGTGTAGTTATGAAGTTATGGATGTGTAGTTATGCAATTATGGATTTATAGTTATGAAGTTATGGATGTATAGTTATGAAGTTATGGATGTGTAGTTATGCAATTTTGGACTTATAGTTATGAAATTATGGATATGTAGTTATGTAATTCTGGATGTATAGTTATGAAATTATGGATGTGATGAAATTATGAATGTGTAGTTATACAATCTGATTTATTTATTTTTTTTAAATTAAACGTCAAAACGACGTCGTTTTTACATCCGTATGCACCATGGTGCATACAGATGCACGGCATAACGATCCTCGGCAATTTATATCCTACACCACGGCGCGCGTTGCATTGTGCGCCCAGATGCAAAACGACGTTGTTTCAATTTATGTTTTTTTTTTTTTTTGAAATTTTCCACCCCAGTGATTGGTAGTTAATTTTTCTTTAAAAAAAAACCTCATGTTAAAAAATGTACATAATGTTATACTAGAATACACATAATTGTATACATGAATGTACATAATTATATAACAAAATATACATACTCTTTTTTAAAAGATAATACACATAATCTAACATAATACATAATAAACATAATCTTTTAACATAATACACATCAACTCTTAACATAATACACAAAAATTCACTAATTCGGATGTACATAATTGTATAAAAAGAATGTACAGAATTGTATAAAAAATATACATAATTGTATAAACAAATATACATAATTGTATGAACAAATATATATAATCACAGCAACTTCCTTCCGCGCCTCCCAAAACAACGTCGTTTTGGGAGGCGCGCGGCTCACAGTACTATGTGCGCCGTGATGTAGGGTATAACGATTGGTTCTCCGGCTATGTAATCAAAGTCGAGGCCCAATTGCCCAAATAAAAGCAAGAAAGCCCAAGCTATGTAATCAAAGTCAAGGCCCAATTTCCCAAATAAAAGCTTGAAAGCCCAATATACATTTTTGTATTAATGTGAAAATTTTATATAATGTCGACCCAACATTGCGGGGAAGTTGATAAGCAAGCTATAATGTGGGAGAATTGTATATGTATTGTGCTAAAGAGTCAAAGCCAAATTTTGTAGGCATGGCACGAATGGTGAGTCGAATCTTATTAATTTTATAATGGTGAAGATAACACTAAAAAATAAACTCGTGGATCAAATATAGTAATATTATTATATTCAGAAAATAAAAAAAATGACAATAAGTCTTCAAAATGTTATTATTAGTAATAATCTTATAGAAAGTTCAGCAATAATTCAATCGTGAATTATTTTATATAAAAGAATAACAAATAGTTCAACTAAAAGAGAACATGGTGCACGTATGCAGCAATGCCTTGTGAGAATCACTCTTGAATGGAGTCTGACCAAGACTCGATCCGAATCAATCTCAATCTACAAAATACAAATATTAATAAAAAAAAAATAGAATATAGACAAACCTGGATAAGATGGTGAAAATAGATCTACAGGGGCGACCTGAGAACACATGATGCATTATTTATAAGAAAACTACATGTGTTCTCATGCCAACCCTGTTGAACCATTCCACCTTTAATCAAATGCTTTTTCTCAAATCACGGTAGACAATGATAACAGACAACCTCGATCGAGTTGATTAAGTTGATTGATTTAATCAACGACAAAGTTACAAATTTGAATTCGATTCTAAACTTACAATGAATTGAATATGATTCCAGACTCTCCGTCTAGTATATATATATATAAAAATACAAGACAGGCAAAAGGATAATGGGTAACAATGTGCAGTACCATGTTAGTACATAGGCTATGTACAACGTGGGTTGTGATTCGTGAAGAAGTACAAGATTGTACATGTGTACTCCCTCTCATGATATCCCTTCTGTTTGTACTACAATTGGGTGATTTTTTTTTTTTGAAAATCAACTACAATTGGGTGAGATAGACAGTAAGATTATGACTGGGTAATATTCCTTCTGGAGTTCTGGGTCAAGAATATGAACAAGTACCCACTATGGCACTATCCAAAAGTTTTACCTTTCCTAAAATACAATTCTTCAATCCACCAAACATTATATTCTTCCCTATTCTGTGTTCTCATATATATCTCCGATCCGTCATCGCCAATGATGACCTAGTTTACGATATTTTGATATGGAACTCATCCATTAAGAAAAGTTAAAGTCTTACCCTTTATTACCTTCACAAACAAACTATCTAACGGTACTGAATTTAGATTTGAAATTTTGACAACGTACATTACTTGGAAGTTGGAAATAGTTAAAGTATTACCCTCTAATAAATACTCTAATAAATAAAAAATTATCGGTTTTATTCGATCCCTATATTCAACAAATGTATCAATTATTACTATTTCTTTGTTATAAATATTTCAATTAGTGGCCATTAATCTTGAGACTCTTCATTTGTCTTCTACTTAATATCTTGTTTATGATAAGTATGTGAAAGGTTGTAATAGTCCCTATAAATTGAGGGTGAAGGCTTAATGAAAAGATGGTCTTATGAAATTGTGTTATTCATCTCCCTTTTACTTATCTATTCTATATACTCATATACATACAATCACGAAGCAGTACCGTGCAAACATCACGCGAGAACTGAGCTAGTTGATAGGCAGAATTACAACATGTTATCAGCACGATTACTATATATGCTGCATTAATAGATATAAAATTGCATATGTGCGTGAGTCATTTGTATATATGTATGCAAAGTTTGGAATATGAATTTTCAATCTTTGTTTTTGTGCAATACACGTATGTTCTGTAACTTTGGAGTTTGAATGACATCCACTATCTTAATCATGTATGCAAGTGAATGCAATATTATGTAATTTATGCATGCAGCATATATTTCTGTGACAGGTTGATGTGCAAGTAAATTGGAGATTAAAATTTTCTTGGTGGCATGATTAAAATAAGAGTGGTTATTTTTTTTGATAATTGTATCACAGATTGTTCAAAATGAGTAATCACTAAAGAGCATTTATCGGTTTGCCTTTGATGATACCAATTATTTGATATAGGCCATATCTTAAATCTTGAACATAGCATTGCCCAGAAGGCAACAAGTCATAGCACAAATTAGAAATAACAGCACTAGGGTGGTTTCCCCAATGTAAAATTGATTTTGTATTGTTTTAAAAGTTAATTTATGGTGCTAATTTGCTATGGAAATTATTTCACATCAGTCTTGGGCATTAGAATAAATCTTAAATCTAAGTATTTAAACAAAATGATAGTGTCTAAGTTTTAATATAGTTTTACCTAGAAGGTAAATCAAGAGCATTAATTTTATCAGTCACCCGCTATCTTGCCCCAAGCCATTGATTATAGAAATTTGATCTAAAAGGATTTATAGACCCTAAGTCAATCCCTGAAGGATATTTGGTGTACGCGGGTCTCATTGTCATCTATGATGGTCATATTGTACTCCAGTAGTAGTACATGACAAAATTATGCTAAGTGTTTGGTCATTATTGGGCTATTTTTTTTAATAAGGTTTGGAAGACCATGAATGTGGATTGATCTTTAAAGTGACTAATAACTTATGAATGAAGTTTGCAACTTCTATTTCTAATGCTATATGCTACTCTCCGAAAGTCAAAATTGACTCACATCATGTTGGTTTGTCTGAAGCAAACAAGTTGTGATTTTTTTTTATACACATAGTAATCACTGCCTGGAAATTCTGACCGGCGCAGTTTGAAAATTAAATTGGTGAAAATACTTCTTGAACTCCTTTTGACATGGAATTTTTTTATCTGGAAAACCTAGACTCATGGTATTTGATGTCTGTAAAAAGATTTTGTTAAAAATATGCTTTGGTGATTCCAGAAAAATTAAAGTTTTGGCAATGTGCTGTCAATTATTTTTCTACCTGGAGCAATGTTGGGAAAAATTTCGGGAAAAATACTTTTAGACCTTGGATTGGCATGAAAATTTTTGTGTACGTTCTTGACTTGATGAACTACATATCTGCAAAATTTTGTGCCAAAATGTGTTACCATTTTTTCCCAGAAAATTCTGAAATTCAGATTTTCTTGTTGGGGACATCAGTTTTATATGCTATTATGGTCTGACCTACTGCATATCATAATTATTCCCCCTAGAACCTAGTACGTGGTATAAAACCAAACATTTCCCATCTGCGTTTTATTCATAGTGTGCAGTCTTTTTCCTATATCACCACCATAGCATACCTTTTGTGGGCATGTATATGTTGATTATAAGCCTCCGTCTATTATTTAAATCATTAGAGCCCATGATATGTACCAATATATAAATAGGTACGCTGACTGCACAGTTTATGAAGATCATTTCACGGCATTAGGGGGAGATAAGATCTCAAATTTAATAGAATGTCGAGAAATTCTATGGATGTTTGATCTTCAATATTTTAATCCACGTACTAGGTAGACTGAACTAGAAGTTCATAAGAAGTAAACGGAACTGGAAGTTCAGAAGATAACTAATCTGCCAATATATATACTGATAAAAGGAGTGACTAGGTCCCATGTATCTTCCCGAACTTGGACCGTATGTATTTACCAATGCTCCTTGACGCTAGAAGTGTGGAGACATGTTGGTATAAAAGACTTCGCGGAAAGCTAAAGCTATTAGAAAATTTTGTCACACTTGAAATCGCTTAAAGAAGTATGTCCTGCAGATATTCATCCAGAAGACATTCGTCCAGAAGGCGAAAAACCCCAGTAAAATTATAGGTGCACCCAAAATCATAATACTGGGGATGCGGAACGACCAGATAAAAATATCTTTGAGAAATGGCTAGAGTCTGGTTGAATTAGAAATTGCCATTTATTTTATATATATGGGAGGAATTTATGAAAAATGTTATAGTTGTCGACAACAGAATTGCCTTTACAAATTGCTCTCATTATATGAGAATCTGGATCTAGAGCTAGGCACCAGTTGTGCCTTGGTATTTTTTTATGTATAAAGGAGCAATTAAGGCATATACAGCTCAACTCGCTAAAATTGTATTCTCTTTATAACATGTACACCATTTAATGTTAACCCTGAAGGTTACAAATGGGTGTTTGTACAAAAGAGAAATACAAATAATCTGGTGGTATGATATAAAGCGAGACTGGTAGCTTAAGGGTTTACGCAGAGATCCTAAATTGATTTTGATCAAATGTTCTCTCCCATAACAGATGGCATTACGTTCCGCTAATTAACATCATTGGCAGTGAATTATAAATTTATATATGCAGTTGATGAGTGTCATGACCGCAAACTTACTAGTCATTAGACGCTAATATTTATTTGTAAATCCGTGATGGATTCAACACTTTTGGAATGTGGAAAGTGAAAATCGCAACGTGTATCATTAAATTACAAAAGTCTTTGTAAGAATTGAATATTATTAACTGAGTGTTTTTCCTCCTGAAGAAGGAATGCATATTGAATGATTGAGTTGACTGTGTATTTTTCCTCCCGAAGAAGGAATATGCAAATATGTACCATTATGTGTTCGTTAAAGAATTTCTAATGGAGTTATTTGTTTATTATCATAGTCGATATTGATGGTTTAAATATCATTGAAGCACATAGAGAGCTTGGTGATATCAGTTCATGCCGAAAGACGGAGTTTTGAAATAAAAGACTTGGAAACCCAAGTATTGTCTCGACCTGAAGATCGAGCTTCTCCTTTGAAGAAGTTTTATACACCAGTTAGCCTATTTGAAAAATGTCTTGAAGATGTTTTATATAGATAAGTATCATTTACTTATTACACTAACAGTTGTCCAATAATCTCTTGTAGTAGAATAAGTGACCATTTAGACTCGAAGATGCTAATGAGGATATTTTGGGACTAGAAGTCCATTACTTCGTTGTTATTGGAGCACTATTATTGAACTAGAAGTTCCATAATCGCATCAGGCCTGATATTGAATTTGCGATGAAATTGCTAGCAACATTTAGTGTTCCCCCTACAATGAAAATTGGAAATGGTATTTAACATATCCGATCCTCCAGCACTTTCGAGGTACAAAGTTTTTGATATTTATGTGAGAACCCATATGTGGTTTTGATGGGCTACTTGGGCACTGGTTCTTTTATTTGATCCCTATGATGCCAAGTCCAAAACTGGTTATGTTATATTTTTACCCCCAATGTCCCATATGAGGACAAATAAGATTGTGTTGCACAAGCAAGTAATAGTTTTGTTAAGGGGAACCTTACAAAACATGTTGCACCTAAGTCCTTCTACACACATGAACTCTAGAAGAGTTGTAAAATTCTTGTTGAGAATGTTTTCCCCACTGAACAATCTTGTAAATATGTTCACTAAGTCTCTACCTACATCCACTTTTGAGTAATATGTTCATAAAATTGGGATGCGTGGACTTAGAAAATTGTTATCTTCAGGGGGAGCGACAACCCCTAACTGCACTGGAATAGACAATCTAGAAGGCTTTTGAAATCCTGAAGATTATGCTCCAAAAGCATATGGTTGTACTCTTTTTCCCTTAGCTAAGTTTTTTCCCACAGGGTTTTCTTAGGCTAAGGTTTTTAATGAGGCAATCGATGTTGGTGCACTTGAGTGGATAGTCCTGAAGACCTTTGAAATCTTGAAGATTATGCTCGGAAGACTTATGGTTGTACTCTTTTCCTTAGCTAAGTTTTTTCCCACTGGGTTTTCTTAGGCTAAGGTTTTTAATGAGGCAACCGGTGCAACACAATGGTTTAATATACTTCGTGTACTCTTTTCCTCGTCTAGTTTTTCCCACTGGGTTTTCTAGCGAGGTTTTTAACGAGGCATGAGTATAGTTATTTAATGGCCAAGGGGGAGTGTTATAAATATTTCAATTAGTGGTCATTAATCTTGAGACTCTTCATTTGCCTTCTACTTAATATCTTGTTTATGATAAGTATGTGAAATGTTGTAATAGTCCATATAAATTGAGGGTGAAACTTAATGAAAAGATGGTATTATGAAATTGTGTTCTATACATTGTGTTCTTCATCTCCCTTTTACTTATCTATTCTATATACTCATATACATACAATCACGAAGCAGTACCGTGCAAACATCACGCGAGAACTGAACTAGTTGATAGCCAGAATTACAACATTCTTAAATTTGTTACTCAATTTTTAATTTCTACAAAATCAATCATCTTACTACCAAAAAAAAAAAAAAAAAAAAAAAAAAAAAAAAACATGCTTAAATGAAAGTATCAATTAAACTTCCATTTAGTGTAGTACACCTTACAACATCTCCAATTACAACGGCACAACAGAAGGGCTTTGAACCGAGCATGACTAAAATGCCAAAGAAATAGGTTGGTGCAAGAGACAAGAATACATCCATTTACATATGTATGCAAGAATAACAAATAAAGCAAAAACACGGAACTTGTTACTCTCATTTTCTTTTTTTGAGTACTACTGATTCTATTACAATGTAGTATCTGTTCATACAGGCTTTCTCAACCTACTGAAGCACAAAGAATCAATACCCCACACCGGGATTCAAACATGGATAAATTCGGCCCACATGGATAACTCAGTTGGTTGGTTCTTAGGTTAGTACTGCGGTAGACTGTAGGCAAGGACTCAGGATTGAACCTGACCGCCGTAGAATAGGAGCTACACACAATTGGTTTTTAAGCGGTAGATTGTGGGCAAGAAGCTTTTAGTCTTTTACCACCGCAATATGGGAGTTACACTTAATGTAGCTAAGTGCCTAAGTCAACATGTTACTCTTCTACTATTCTATTCGGCCGAGATGTACGGGTGCGAAAATTTTGCCTTTCATGAGTAAAAATCAAATTATAGGCCACTAAATCACGATTATTTACCCTGTCCGGGGTATGGGTCCTTGGGGCAACAAAATTTTCCTTTTTGTGGGCAAGACCGCAAGAATTCATAAATTCACCCATAAGTAGATAAGCTTCATTTTACCAAGAAAAAGCCCCGTTATGCCATGGAACCGTGTTCACCATTCATAGTGAACACGGTTCCAACGGTGTTAGTACACCGTTATCTTTTTTTTTTTCTTAATTAATTGCGTGACTTTTCTTCTTCATTTTCACATTTTGAGGTTTCACTTTAATTTGAGGTGAACAAAGATTTCGGACATTCATAAATTATGAATTCATGCCTGCACATTCACTTTGGAACCATGCCTACACATTCCCGTCCGAAATCACAGACATTCATAAATTATGAATCCATGCCTGCACATTCACTTTGGAACCATGCCTACACATTCACTTTGGAACCATGAGATTATGAATTTTCTGTTATAAGATTATGAATTTTCTGTTATAAGATTATGAATTTTCAGCTATGAGATTATAAATTTTCTGTTATGCGATTATGAATTTTCTGTTATGAGATTATGAATTTTCATTACATTCATAATTTCGGACATTCATAAATTATGAATTCATGCCTACACATTCACTTTGGAACCATGCCTACACATTCCCATCCGAAATCACGGACATTCATAAATTATGAATCCATGCCTGCACATTCACTTTGGAACCATGCCTACATACACATTCACTTTGGAACCATGAGATTATGAATTTTCTGTTATAAGATTATGAATTTTCTGTTATGAGATTATGAATTTTCAGTTATGAGATTATAATTTTCTGTTATGCGATTATGAATTTTCTGTTATGAGATTATGAATTTTCATTACATTCATAATCTCATAACAGAAAATTCATAATTGGATCAAACGCGCGCCGTTAACTCCACATCCGGGAATTTTTATTTTTTTTTTTGCCTAAAAACGACGTCGTTTAGCCTTGTGTTCACCATACACGGTGAACACGTTTCCATGGCATAATTTGCCAGAAAAATCAATACCTTTTTCTTGTGTAATCAAAGTCAAGGCCCAAATAAAAGCTTGAAGCCCAATATATACAATAGACTAGTATACATTTTTCAATTGTTCAAAATTGTATAGTAGAATACACATATAATCAATCGTTATACCTGCACTACAGCACACAACTCGCACATAGTACTGTGCGCCGCGCGCCTCTCAAAACGACGTCGTTTTGGTAAGTTATGTAGGGAGTTGACGTGATTATGTGTATTTGTTTATACAATTATGTGTATTTTTTTTATACAATTATGTGTATTTGTTTATACAATTATGTACATTTTTTTTACAATTATGTGCATCCAAAACAGGAAATTTATGTGTATTATGTTAAGAGTTTATGTGTATTATGTTAAAGTTTATGTATTATGTTAGATTATGTGTATTATCTTTTTTTTTTTTTAAAATATGTGTATTTTGTTACGCAATTATGTACATTCATGTATACAATTATGTGTATTCTAATATAAAATTATGTACATTTTTTAACATTAGATTTTTTTTTAAAGAAAATTAACCGCCAACACAGACAGGATAACGAAATTTCAAAAAAAAACAAAACTGAAACGACGTCATTTTGCATCAGGGCGCACAATGCAATGCGGGCCCTGGTGCACGATATAAAACATAATACACATAAGCACACAAAAATAAAACTGTAACGGGATTAGACGGATGGAGCGGTGCCCGTCGCACCATCGCGTCAACTTTCTAGGGTGCACAATGCATTGCGCACCCTGGTGCACAATATTTTTTTTTTGAATGCTACTGACTCTATTACATTGTAGTATTTGTTCAAACATACTTTCTCAACCTAATGAAGCACAAAGAGTCAACAACGCCTCCACTGAAGCTCGATCTCATGACCTCCCACATGGGAGAGATCACTACATGTCATCTGAGCACAATATGTTTGACCCTTGGTGCACGATATAATTTGCCTACATTTTTACGACAATAATAATGTACTTTTAAAAATTGTATATTACGTATACAAATAATGTACATTCAATAAATAAATAATGTACTTTTAATATATTAAAAATGTATTTTTTTTATTATAATCGACACAACATTATGTGAACCATAATTCACACAATAATTTGCGACATTTTTGCTTTAATGTGAAAATTTTACTCCGTATATTATATCGACCCAACATTTTGGGGAAGTTGATAAGCAAGTTTTAAGGTGGGAAGATTGTATACGCGTCATGTTAAAGAGTCAAAGTCAAATTTTGTAGGCATGGCACAAATGGTTATCCGAATTTTTATTTTTTTTGAAAATCTTATTAGTTTTAAGTTTTATAATGGCGAAGATGTCAGCAAAAGATAAACTTGAGGGCCAACGTGATAATATTATAATATTCGAAAAATAAAAAATGACAATAGGTCTTCAATATTTATTATGAGTAATCTTCAAGAATGTTCAGCAATAATTTAATCGCAAATATTATTTAAAAAAAATTACAAATAGTTCAACTAAAAGAGAACATGGTGTATGCAATAACGCCTTGTGAGAGTTATTCTTGAATGGAGTTTGACCGAAATTCGACTGGAACAATCCCAATCTACAAAATACAAATATCAGTATAATATAGAAAATATGAAATATGTACAAATCTGTATGATGAATAGGATGATGGAAAATGGATCTACAGGGGCGACCTGAGAACACATGATGCATTATTTTTTTTTTAAAAAAAAAATCACATGTGCTCTCATGCCGACCCTATTGAACCATTCCACCTGTATTCAAATGCTCTTCCCTCAAATCAAAGTAGACAATGAGTAAGGGCAACGCCAACCGAATTGATTGTGTCGTTTACTCAGTAATCGTAAAACACCAAAGTTTAACTGTGAGATTTTTCTGTAAATCAAAGATAGATAATGAGTATGTTTTCAGACTTCCAAATAGTGTATATATATAAGTAAGATGATAATGGGTAACAATGTGCAGTACCTATGTTAGTACATGGGCTATGCACAAGATGAGTAGTGAAGAAGTACAAGATTGTACATGTGTACTCCCACTCATGGTTTTCCCTTGTGTTTGTACTACAATTGGGTGAGATAAGACTAATTACGGTTACGGAGCATTAGACAGAAGACAGCAAGATTATGACTGGGAGTTTTGGGTCTAGAATATGAATAAGTATCCAACAAAGCTTTACCTTTTCTAAAATCAGGCCCAAGAAGTTGCTAAGAATGGTCAAGATCCATCAACACCTTTTTGAGCCCAACATATAGTTGAACAATCGTTATGCACTGGACCCGTGTACATCGCAAATTATGCCGTGCAACCGAATGCACCTTGCAAGGTGCATACGGTTGCAAAACGGCGCCGTTTTGGTTAAAAAAAACGCGCGTCTCACTTAAAGAAAAAATCAGGTTCGATTTCCGGCAATAGCATTTTTATATATCCAGAAATTAATAACTATATGACCACAATTTCATAATTATATATCCACAATTTCATAACTATATATCCACAGTGAATGAATGAAGTAAAAATCAACAATGAATGAATGAATGAAGTAAAAATCCACAATGAATGAATGAATGAAGTAAAAATCCACAATGAATGAACTAAATATCCACAATATATGATTGAACTAAATATCCACAATGAATGAACTATATAACCACAATTTCATAACTATATAACCACAATTTCATAACTATATATCCACAATTTCATAACTATATATCCACAGTGAATGAATGAAGTAAAAATCCACAATGAATGAATGAATGAAGTAAAAATCCACAATGAATGAATGAAGTAAAAATCCACAATGAATGAACTAAATATCCACAGTATATGATTGAACTAAATATCCACGATGAATGAACTATATAACCACAATTTCATAACTATATAACCACAATTTCATAACTATATATCCACAATAATGTTATTGCTGAGAATCGAACCTGATTTTTTTTTTTAAATGGGACGCGCGTTTTTAGTCAAAACGACGTCGTTTTGAACCGTATGCACCATGCGCATGGTACATTCGGTTGCACAGCATAACTATTGCGTGTACAGCTTGCAAGCTGGACACGGGTAACAGTGCCTAACGGCACTGTTATCTTTTTTTTTTTTTTTTTTTTTTTTTTTTTTTAAATTTCAGACTATTTCGTTATAGGAGTATATGTTCATAATTTTATTATTATATGTTAATAATTATACATTCATAACTCCATAACTGTACATTCATAACTCTATAACTGTACATTCATAACTCCATAACTGTACATTCATAACTCCATAACTGTACATTCATAATTTTCGAAGCTCTATGTTCACAATTTTAGAGCTCTATGTTCATAATTTTATCACTATATGTTCATAATTGTAAGTTCATAATGTCAGAGCTATTTGTTCATAATTTGATCAATAACTGTACATTCATAACTCTATAACTGTACATTCATAACTCCATAACTGTACATTCATAACTCCATAACTGTACATTCATAACTCCATACTGTACATTCATAATCTTCGAAGCTCTATATTCACAATTTTAAAGCTCCATGGTCATAATTTTATCACTATAAATGTTCATAATTGTAAGTTCATAATGTTAGAGCTTTGTGTTCATAATTTCATAATTGCATAACTGTACATTCATAACGGCATAACTGTACATTCATAATCCAAAAAAAATAACGCCGTTAACGGCAAAACACGCGCGTTTTTTTTTTTTTAACTAAATGACGCGTTTTTTATAAAAACGACGTCGTTTTGGGCCCGTGTCCACAATTCATTGTGGACACGGGTCCAGGGCATAATTTGCCATAGTTGAAGGCAAATTATACAATCGTTATACCGTGCATCAGGTGCGCCCTGCGCCGGCAAATTATATTGTGCACCGCGCATCAAAACGACGTCATTTTATTTAATGAAAAGAAACAGAATCTTCGCAAAAAATAACTCTGTTCTTCATTTTCATTTTGTATACACTGCAGTTTCAGTTCAACACAACTATAGTTTCATTTCGATATAACTACAGTTTCATTTAATATTTATACACTCAAATATGTGAAAATGTTATTTAATTTAATTTTATATACACTATAATTTCATTAAAACACAACTACACGATCATTTCAATATAATTACAACTTCATTGTACAATATACACTCAAATATGTGAAATGTTATTCAGTTTCATTTTATATATACTGTTGTTTCATTTCACCACAACTACAGTATAATTTTGATATAACTGCAGTTTCATTTGATAATATAAAAATAATACGTGAGATAGTGTCGGTTTAGACACACTGTAGTGTCACTCCGTTTTAACTGCAGAAACAGTGCCGTTTTGACGCGCGGTGCATAATCGATTATGCACCGCGGTCCACGATATACGACTGCCATGCGCCTCCAAAACGATTTTGTTATAAAATTATGTGTTTTCAAGTATAAAATTTTATACATTCGAAACAATGATTTTTATTTTTTAAAAAAGATTATGTGTTTTCAGGTATAAAATTATGGTTTTCTACTATATAATTCTGTACATTCGAAACATGGGAATTTTCAGTTATAAAATTATGTGTTTTTAGCATGATTGCAGTAGGCGCTAGGCGCTAGTCGGGCGGCCGGGCAGCACCTAGCGCCTAGGCGGATTCTAGGCGGCGCTAGGCGGGCACCAAAAAAATTAAAAAAAATAGTGACAGGCTTGTAGTTCGACAATTTTAATGAGGTTGTTTTCAACGTTCACTCAAATAACACATCTAAATAAATGAAATAATGATAATTTATAAGTCATTTTTCTTTTTTTGAATGTTACTGGCTCTATTACATTGTAGTATCTGTTCATATACTTTCTCAACCTACTGAAACACAAAGAACCAATAACGCCTTCACTGATAATATTAAAATCAATAATTAATGAAAGACGACATCGGTCAAAATCTGTCAAAAACGGTCAAAATCGGACGAAATCGGTCGACTCGGCCGAGTTTGGCCGCCTAGGCCGCCGACCGAGTTTTGGCCGCCTTTAGGCCAAAACTCTAAGGCTCGGTGCCGCCTAGGCCGAGTTTTGCAACCTTGGGTTTTAGGTATAAAATTATGTGTTTTCTATTATATAATTCTGTACATTCGAAACATGGGAATTTTCAGTTATAAAAATTCTGTGTTTTCAGGTATAAAATTCTGTATTTTTCTATTATACAATTTGTACATTCGAAACATGAATTTTATTTTTAAGGGGTTAACAGCAGACACACGAAAAATATACAAAACGACGTCGTTTTGGGTCAGGGCGCACAGTGCATTGTGCGCCCTGGTGCACAGTATAATTTGCCCAAATGATAGGGAACGTTATGCTGTGAGCACGTGCCACTTTGCAAGGTAGGCACGGTTCTATATCCATAATTTCTATACGGTAGATTCATAAAATTTATACTTTAGATTCATAATTTAAATACAGTAGATTCATAATTTCTATACAGTAGATTCGTAATTTCTATACTACAGATTCATAATATCTGTACTGTAGATTCATAATTTCTGTACTGTAAATTCATAATTTCTAAACTGTATAGTTATCAAATTAAGAACATATATAGTTCTCTGATTTGTGAAAACAGAGTTCAACAATTGAATCTAAAGTATAAATTTTATGAATCTACAGTATAAAAATTATGGATCTACAGTATAGAAATTATGAATATGAAATCGTGTCCACCTTGCAATGTGGGCACGTGCTCACAACATAATTGCCAAAATTATAGTATTATACCATGGACCAGAGTCTACCTTGCATTGTAGGCCCTAGTTCAAAAATATCTTTAGATTATGTATCTATAGTTTTACATTCTGTATCAGCAATTGATAATTTTTGTACCTGTAACTATCATATTATGTGTCAGCAATTATTAAGTCAGATTCTGTATCTATAGTTGACACATTCTGTAACTATCATATTATGTGTCAGCAAGTATCAAGTCAATTCTGTATCTACAGTTGACACATTCTATACCTGCAGTTGATAGTTTCTATATATGTAGATATCATATTATGTGTCAACAATTATCAAGTTATTTGTTTACATGTACAGAAACTATTAACTGTAAGTACATAATTTGTTAATTGAAGGTACATAATTTTTGTATCAAGGTTCACAATGCAATATGAACTCTGTCCATGGTATAACAATTGGTAAATGGATGCAAATTATTATGTTGACCCCGGTCCACCTTGCAAGGTATATCCAAGTCTAAACGTTCACAATTTACATACTAAATTTTAAAAATTTACAATTTGGAACACACAATGTTAACATATATGTAATTGATTACCTTGTTTTGTATTCACAAGTTTCTTTCAAATATTACCATCACACAATATTAACAAATTAAAATTTGATGGCCTTATATTATATTCACAAATTCAGTTGTTATATGTTTTGACTTAGAAACACAATTTATATTCCAGAAGTTCACAATTTCAACACTTAAAATACACAATTTATATGCCGTTTAGGACCAGGGTCCACCTTGCAAGGCGGACAATGGTACATGGTATAACAACAGTTGGACATAATTGTTATGTTCCACTGTAGATGGCTTCCACATCTGCCATTTCTTGGTCATATTAGGAACCTTAATCCCACCAAAAATCCAGGACTTCATACACACACCAGAGCTGGAATTTTTGTGGGTGATGGCGCGGGCGATGGAGCTGCAGGTGTAGCTAGCTCGCCTCCTCGGTTTCATTGATCAAGACTTGGACTTTCTGCCCAAGAAATGCTTGATTGGATAAGTTTTTGCTGCCTATCCATTGTCACAGAGGACCATAGCTTAAGATTTTGATAAGAGAACAGGATTGAGTAGAGAGACATTTGGTCAAGTCTGGTTTTTTATGCCACTCCTATCAAGCTATAGCCAGGTAGTTTCTTTAATCCTTTCTCATTTATTGTCTCTCTGATTCTTTCAGCTTCATTCCATTTTCCTTGGCCAGAATATAGATTGGATAAGATTACCAATGGAATAGGACTCCCAGGCTCTAACTCCATGAGTTTTTGAGCCATTTCTTCCCCCAGATTGGGATGTGAATGACACTCAGGAGCCCCGAGCAGCGAGGCAAAAACTGGAGCAGAAGGCGCGGGTATTTTCTGGAGTAGTTCTCTTGCTTCATCCAGTTGTCCGGAACGAGCGAGGAGATCAATCAGAATGTTAAGTTGTTTGGAAGTTGGGGTCAAGCCGAAATCCATTGTCATCATTCTAAAGAGTTCCCATCCTTTGTTAGTTTGGCCAGTATGACTGCACACAGATAAAATGCAATTGAAAGTGGCTAAGCTTGGCTTTACTTTCTCCTGCAGCATCCGATTAAACGTTTCAAACGCAGCTTCGCTTTGATTATTCGTTCCATACCCCGAGATCATCACATTCCAGAGGGCAGGGTCATCGCGCTTGTGCTCAAACTCATCAAAAACCCTGCACGCCAAAGAAACTTGCCCGCATTTCATGTACACATCGATCACTGCTGTCGTAAGAAATGCATCTGTGCTGCAGCCAGTCCTAATGGAATATCCATGAATCTGTTTTCCAGAGCCTAGCAAACACAGCGCAGAACACGCTGTCAAAAGACTGGTCATTAGTTTCTCGCTCGGCTTGACACCTGCAGACACCATTTTTCTAAAGAACATAACAGCTTCTGCTGCTTTACCGAGCTGTGAAAATCCAATGATCATAGTGTTCCACGTCGCTAAATCAGGCCTTAATCCTTCACTTTCCAACTGTGTGAAAAGCTCAACGGCGTTCTCACTTCGACCATTGAGCATCGTTCCTGCAATCATCGAATTCCAAGTAACCAAGCTCCTTTCACTGTCAAGTTCTTCAAACACTGCAAATGCACACTGCCAAGAACCACATTTAGAATACATATCCACAAGTGCAGTGGCAACCATAGTATGAATTTCATCAGTTTTTACAGCAGACCCATGAACTTGCATGCCAAACTTCAGATTCTTGATTTCTGCACAAGCAGAAAGAACAGAAACTAAGGTCACAGAATTAGGCCCTTCATCTGATGATCTCTTCATCTCCTGAAACACAACCAAGACAGTCCCAGACACATCATTCTGCAATAAACCGGTCAAATATGCATTATAGCAAACCACATTTTTGTTCTCAACTAACCCAAACAACTTTGTGGCTGAAACCAAATCACCAGAACTAGAATACATAGTCAGAAGCGAAGTTGCAACGTACACACACATCTCAACCCCAATCTTTACAGCCCAGCAATGCATTTGCGCACCATGTATAACACTCTCACATCCTGACAGAACACCAGCTATAGTAACTGAATCCGGCCGGAGATTCCAAGAATCAAGTAACCCAAACGTCCTGAAGGACTCTCCGCAATACCCATTCTGAGAAAACCCAGAAATGAAGGCGTTCATCGAATCGATGGTTGGCTCGCGAATTTCGTCGAACACCTTGAGTGCACAACCCAAGCTGTTGATTTTCACGTATAGGTGGGTGAGGGCAGTGGCGGCGTAGATATCGGACTGGAACCCAGTCTTGATGAGGTGGGTGTGGATCATTTGGGCTTGAGGAATTGCCCTAAGCTTCGCACAGGCTTTGAGAAGTGCTGGGAAGGTGAATCCATTGCGAAGTGAAGAAGATGAAGAGTGGAGGTGTGAGTAGAGCGTAAGGGCTTCTCTGTGGAGTCCATCTCTTACTAATTCCGCTATCTGCCGCCTCATGGATTGCCTTCATTCATCAGAAAACATCCAAATGCTCTTACAGTTCCCTGCGGGCAAGTTATAGCTTTCGGGCACATTTAAAATCAATAAAGTTAATACTTTTGTGTTCAAGAGTATATAAATCTTGTCCTCACACCGATTTGGATTCTCATATGAGAGGTTATAAGTTTGAACCTTAGTCGAAACATTATTGGCTAATCCAATGAGGACATGAATAAGAAAACGGAAATATATGTAATTTCTAGTCGGGGACGGGGATACCTTTCCTGCCCCACTTGTCCCCGAATAATTATTATAAGAGTTAATACCCAAAATTGTCCTCGACTATAGTGGTTTTTCTCAATTTCGTCCTAAATGACTTTGGTGACCTAATATTGTCCCAGACTTTTGGGTTTTGCTCAATTTAGTCCTCCGTTTGTTATTCCGTCAAATTGGTGTTAAATAAAGGGACAATTCAATAATATCAATATTGACCTCTCTTTACTTTCAACATGCGAAGTGAGAAATCTTTCTTTCTTGCACGAATTACACCCAGAATTACTCTCAGACCTACGAATCAAATTTTATATTCGCAGGTTTAAGAGTGATTTTGGGAGTAATTCGTAAAAAAAAAAAATTGATTTCGCACTTCACATGTCTATGAGTAAAGAGATGTCAATATTAAAATTACAGAATTGTCTATTTATTTAACAACAAATGGACGGAATAACAAATGGGAGACTAAATTGAGCAAGAACACAAAAGTTTGGGACTAAATTGAGTAAAAACACAGAAGTCTGGGACAATATTAAGTCACCAAAGTTATTTAGGACGAAATTGAGAAAAACCACTATAGTCGAGGACAATTTTGAGTATTAACTCAATAATTATATATATATATAACTATAAAATTAAAAATTATACTAATTTAAGATTTTGGTCTAAAATTTGATCGAAAATAGAAATTTTAATGAGATTTGAACCTGTCATCTCCCACTTAAGAAAGTGATTCAATGCTAGTAGACCACGAGCCACTTGGTTTAGATTCGATATTTTACAAATTACATAGGAAATTTTTAAAATAATTGTGAATCTAAACCATAACCAAACATGTATGTTAGTGGTTTGAACCGAACCAAGACCGCTCAAATTAATAAAGATACTTACAGAGTTATAGTTTCTGAATAAAAGGTTGAATAGACCGAGCATGACACTTGTACATTCTCAATCGAATAAGTGGCATGAGATCTTTTTTATATAATCTAAGTTTACTTAATGCAGACTTTTAAGTGAAATATAAGTTTCATACTAAAACGTGACGATTTCAATTCTTATTGATACTTAACTTATTTTATTTGAATTATAGATTACATAATGCAATATTTTTAAAGATTTAACTTTAACGAATGCAGAAGGCAAAGAGTTCTTTCCCACTGGTCCAAGTAGGGTGGAATGACTTAGCCAGCCCAACGGAAAATCCAGTGCCGATAAACACGCAGCCATAGCTCACCGATGCGCCACCGTATATGGTGGCTCCGGTGTTAAATGACCACACTATCTCTCCGTTGGAGGCGTCCATTGCGTAAAGAGGGCCGTTGGGAGCCACCGAACCGGCGAAAAGAACTCCGTTGACTAACGTGACCGGGCCAGGAGCCGTTTCATTGCTAGGATTCGCGGTGGTCCAGAGAATCTGGCCGGTGCTAGCGTCCAGCGCCACCCATCCACCAGCAGTTGTTGTTTGGTTCGTCGGTGCGAGCCTGAACGGAAGCCTATTGCCGTTGACTATGTTTGTGTAGACTCGAGACCTCCCGTCGGTGGCTGCTCCCCATATCCCTCCTCCTTCCAAGCTGCCCGGTCCAGCTTTCTACACCAATATATATATATATATATATATATATATATATATATATATATATATATATATATTTATTCAATAGTTAATGAATACCGGAGTGTGGGGACCCTTAGGGTTAAGGTTCAGCCTTTTGAAAGAATAATTAATAATTAATGAATATCATTAACCTCTCCCGACCAGAGATAATGTTATGTTGTAACTTACCTTAAACCAAACAATATCACCATTATCACGATCAAGAGCCCAAGCAAACCCACTTTTCTGCACTGCCACCACAACATCTCTAAACCTTTTCTTCTCCAATATGGTAACCAACATTGGAGCCTCACCAAAGTCAGCATCCACGTTCGGGCCGGGCGGGCAGTCCGGGTTGTTGGGGACCAAACAGACAAAATAGAAAACATCATAGCCCCCTAGCTGCCTAGCCCAAACAATCTCTCCTGTACTGATCCTCAAAGCCATGATAGAATTGAAGTGAACATCTGGCCCGAAACATTGGTCCGGCCCGGTCGGAGGGCCCGTTCGATTATTCTGAGCCGCCTGACACCGGAGAACCTCCTCCGGAGCGTTGTACAAGTTTCCGGTGCCAACATAAACCCATCCTCTTAGTATGTCGACGGCGGGGCTGCTTCCCCAGATGGCGGCGCCGGAGTAGCCTCCCAATTTTCCGCCGTTGTCCGGAAGTGTATAAGTTTGCCATAGAATTTTGCCGGTTTTTATGTCTAGCTTCACTAGGCTTCCCCGGAAAGTGCAGCATTGTCCCGCCGGCAGAAGTTCTTCTAGTGACGATACTCCCAATAAACATATCCTATTATAAGAAATTTTAAAATAATTTTTTTTGACAAGGAAATTGCAGCGACTAGGGTTGTGTATTGGATAATTTTTGTAACATTAACTAACAAGAACGAGAAAGTAAAACAACTTAAATTTGTTTGATTGGTTCAAAATAAAAAGTTCTACCAATAAGCTATTCTTACTACTAGTTAAAATTAGATCGACTCAAACTAAGAATACTAATAAGTCGTTCTCACTGAGAGTCAAATTCAGACCGGCAGACTAGTTCAAATTAAAAAGACCAATAAGTCATTTTCTCGGGAAAGTCAAACTAAGATCAATTTAAACTAAAAAGCTCAAGTTACTTCTATCAAAACTTGAACTCAAAGGGGCTTAAACTAAAAAGTCCAAGCTGTTCAGAAGCAATCATTATTGTGTGGACTATGGTCTACACAAGTTGTATGGACCATATTTTGTATACTGTTAAATAATATACATTCAGTACAAAAATAATGTACATTGTATTTGAGAGATGTACATTATTTTTTTTACTAAGTGTACATTATATTGTATAATGTACATACAGTACAAAAATAATGTACATTTAGTATATTAAAAATGTACTTTTTATTATGGCCCACATAACATTGTATGGACCATGTCCAGAGAATAATTTGCCGTTCAGAACAAGTCTCAACCTTGTTGATAAAATAGTTTAAAAGATAAGCAAAATGCTAACCCTGCAGGGACGACGCAAGATGCAGAAGCAGTGATAATGGCGCGAGGGCGAGGGTCAAGCTTAGTAGCCCACACAAGCTCTCCGGTGGAACGTTTCACGGCTATCACCACGGCGGGGCCATAAATTCCGACGACCAGATAACCTCCGGCCACCGCCGGAGTTGATCTCGAGACAGTGACGTTCACGCCGCTTACCAGATTTGACGGCGGCAAGCCCGTTAACTGTCCAAGATTTTGTTCCCAGACAAGTGCTCCTGTGTTTGCATTCACTGCATACAGATTTCCATTCCAAGACGGAAAATACACCACCCCATCGGCGACGGCCGGCGTCGCCGTGATGTCGAAACCGGCGGCGAATTTCCATTTCAATCGCAACCGCTGCGCCACCGTTTTTGGGTTGAACAGTAGCTCTCCCTCTGCATACCTTCTGTTGGTTATGTCCTTTCCATGAGTAATCCACTGAATTTAAAACCAAAAAAAAAAAAAAAAAAAAATCACAAAAATTAAACAATTATAACTATAATATAATAAGTATTTGTAATCGATACAAATGTTTATTCTTGAAACTAATAGAGAGTTGAACATACTTCAGAAGTTGAGTTATGAATAAACAAGGTTAAGGTTGCAACAAAGAGAACAATATTATTGCCATTCTTGATCTTAATAAATTTGAAATCCATATATGAAGTGTAAATTATAAGGTTGTAACATACACATATATAGGGGATTATCTGAAGGTGACTCTCAATTCTAAGTAATAATCATCCGGGATCAAATCTCACCAACGTCAGTATGGGAACAATCTCTCAGAGTGCGGGGCTCCTTGTGCGCATTAAATGTCTAACTTCTGTGTTCAGTTGAGTTACCATGATTTACATCCTCTCAGATGCTCTGTCGAGTTGGGGTTGGGGATTCAACCTTTTGAGAACAATCACAAATTGTTCAACTAGCTCGGTTGGGGGTTGCCCCCAATATTGTTAATTAGTAATGTTTTTCAATGATATTTGATACAATCATGTATTGTATAAGGTATTATTGATGCTCGCACGTAGAGGATCACAAATTGTCTGATTAATTTGGTTGGGAGTTGCTCCCAATAGTGTTAATAATGTTTTTCAATGATATTTAATACAATCATTATGTATTTTTTAAGGTATTATTGATGCTCATACGGACAGTTCAGTTAGTTTCTGAGTAGTAGATTATGTGCATGATATTATTGTTAATGATTTTTTATGATATCCGATACGTACCATCTTTAAAAATTATTTTAATAATATTCGGTACAATCATGTATTGTATTGTACCATAGATCGAACAAATTGGTCATGCATAAAAACTCCAAAATTATAGTCTCAAAGATCCGACTTTCTTTTTTAAAAAACAAATAAAAATTATGTCTTGCTAATCATGTTTAATAGCTTACCTTAGTGTACATCATCAAATTTAAAGTTGTTCCTATGAAGACTTAATTGGTTCTATGGTAGTAGATTGTCGACAAGGACACATAATCAAGTCTTGATAACTATAATGTGAAAGTTACACACTTACACCTAATGTGATGATTTTTTTTTTTTTTTTTTTTTTTGGTACTAGGTATTGATCCTCTCACCTAATAATTGATTAATCACTGGATCACCGTGATTTATCTCTCTATTATTATGCCGGGTCAGAATGTGAAAGCTTTGAGGACGAGAGATTTTTTCCTTTCTTGAGTAAGGGCAAAGTTTAAAGTTAT